CCAGAGAAAACTCTCTTGACAACAAATGGCCCTTCGTAGGTGGGAGTCCATTTTCCTTTGGGATCGCCTTGTGGTAAAATGATGTGTTTTATCACCAAGTCACCGACTTGATATACTCGAGGCTTGACCTTTTTGTTGAAAGCCTTGATCATCCATTTTTGATACGTCTGACCATGGAAAATAGCAGCTAATCGTTTTTCATCACTCAAGTTCAGCTGATCCAATCTCGTTTGAATCCACTCGTCTTCGCCTAAGCCTGCCTCATTCATAATCCTCAGCGAGGGAATCTGAACTTCCACTGGCAGAACAACTTCCATGCCATAGACTAAGGAAAAGGGAGTTATCCCAGTTGATGTTCTAGTTGAAGTGTGGTAGCCATGTAGAGCAAACGACAACATCTCATGCCAATCTTTATAGGTTACTACCATTTTCTGCATAATTTTCTTGATATTTTTGTTGGCCGCTTCGACTGCGCCATTCATTTTCGGTCTATACGGAGAAGAATTGTGATGCTTGATCTTAAACTGAGTGCAAAGCTCAATGATCATAGCATTTTTTAGGTTAGTCCCATTGTCGGTGATGATCCTTTCGGGGATACCATAACAGCAGATGAGGTTGTGTCTGATGAATCTGACTACCACGTTCTTGGTGACGGAGGCAAACGAGGCGGCTTCGACCCATTTGGTAAAATAGTCAATAGCAACAAGAATGAAGCGATGTCCGTTGGAAGTTGTGGGCTTGATCTCTCCAATCATGTCAATGCCCCACATTGCAAATGGACACGGAGCGGTCATGACATTCAAGGGGATAGGAGGCATGTGGACCTTATCCGCGTAGATTTGGCATTTGTGACAGGTTCTTGAATGTTGATGGCAATCAGTCTCCATCGTTGACCAATAGTAACCTGCTCTTAAGATTTTCTTAGCCATCATATGTCCACTTGAGTGAGTACCGAAAAGACCATCGTGCATGTCTTCCATAATCTCCTCTGCCTCCTTCTTGTCTATACATCAGAGTAGAGTTGAATCATGGTTGCGCTTGTACAATATCCCGTTACTTAGGAAGAATTTGGCTGCAAATCTTTGCAAGAACTTTCTGTCATTGATAGATGCCTCCTCTGGATACTCTTGTGCTTCAAGGTATCTCATCACCTCATGGTACCATGGTTTTTCCGCATCGGTGTCAAGCTCATAGCAATGTGCAGGTTCATCGAATCTTTCAATTGTTATCACATGGGCTTCGTTGTCCCATCTGACCTTGAACATTGAAGACATGGTTGCCAAAGCGTCAGCCAACTAGTTTTCTTCCCTGGGGAAGTGCTCGAAAGTAATCTCTTCGAAGTAAGGAATCAGGGATAACACAAGTTCTTTGTAAGGGATAAGATTAGGGTGTTTAATGTCCCAATCTCCTTTTAATTGGCTGATCACTAGGGCAGAATCCTCAAACACATTCAAATGCTTGATCCTTAAGTCAATAACAGCTTTTAGACCTAAGATGCATGCTTCATACTCGGCCATATTATTTGGACAATCGAAGCATAGTCTGGCAGTGAAAGGAGTGTGGCAACCTTCAGGAGAGATGATCACAACACCAATTCCGTTACCTAAGGCGTTGGAAGCCCCATCGAATACCATAGTCCATCGGGATCCTTGTTATTTTTACTTTTCAATATAATAATAATAATAATAATAATAATTTTTCAGTTGTGCTATTTAATTTTTACTCTCTACACTATTTTCAATACATTAATCGAGTTAATTTTGTAAAAATATAATATCTTATAATAATATTATTACATTTTTTAACTTATGTGAAAAACCTTAAACAACGATCATTTTAAAACGGAAGGAATAGCATAATGCTAATAAATATTAAAGGATTCACTATAATATTGCATCAAATTAATTCAACAAAGACATCTATAATTAAGGTAATCGAAATCGTCCTAAACATTGAATCAATGTATTTATGAGTTCAGAATTTAAGATTTGATCGGATTTGAATCCGAGTTAAATCGACTATATATAAATAAGTGTTTTTTTTGTTATATATAAGAATAAGAATATACTAAAATAATTATATGTTTTAAATAATAAAATAATTTATTGAATTTCTTAATAATTAATACTTAATAATTTTTAAAATAATTTTTATAGTATTTTATATTTTTAATATGTTAAATAAATAAGTTCAAAACTTTTATTTTAATAATTAATAATTTAATAATTTAATAATTTTATCAATTATTTGTTCACGATATTGTCTGATCATTTTTTATACGTTGAAGTGTATTTTATCATATTTATCTATTATATATCATTATACAAAATTCACTTTTATTCATCAAATGAATAAAAAAATATAGCAAAACTTAATTACAATTCTTTAGGTGTGGTTCTTATTATTTTTCAATGAAAATGTAACAAATATACTTAAATATTGTTTAAGGAGTAAAAATATGAGTAATTTACATATGTGTAAAAATAAATTATACACTTGTCATATATTTTCATTGAAAAATAATAGGAATCACACATACAGAATTGTACATGTTCCGTCTTAAAAAATAATAAAATAATTTAAAATAATTTTTATTTTGATTTTTCTACGATAATATATACTAGAGTGGTTGCAAAAAGAAAAAGAAAATTAAATCAAAATTATTTTGATTCAAGACAAAAATTTTTATCATATTTTTATAAATAAAAAACAAAATTCGATCTAATCATAAAAATCGCCTAAACCACTAGTATTTCGATTTTGAACGATTTCTCAATTTAAATTTTGATTTTTTTGCATGTTGATTTTCAAATCCATAAATAACGATTAGGATTTTGATTCACGTTCCAATACATTAAACCGACTAGTCTAATTCAATTTTGATTAACATGTGTATAATCATATCAATAAGAGACAAATATCTAGATTCAACTTTGATAAGAATCTCTGATAGACCCACAAATTAAAATAAGCTAAATCAAAAAGTGCATTTAGAGATTATTTGAACTAAAAAGTCAAATTAATTGATTAATTAAACTGATTAAATTGATTGATTTTTAGAAAGTAATAAGATCATATAATTTAAAAAAAATTAATAGTGTTAAAAAAAATTAATATAAGTTGTCTCGGTATTTCTAAAAACATTAAAATATACTCTCCCCATCTCTCAATAGTAGTTTTTCTTAAAAAAAATTAATATTTTTTAAGATGATAATTGATTATGTTGATTTTAATAATAAAATAAATTTCATTTATTAAAATAAATAATAGATAGTAAATTAATATAATTTAAAATATAATAAATAAGAGTAAATTAATAGAAAAAATATCAAATATTATGAAAACAAACATATTATGAAACGAAGAGAATAATTTAAAATATCAAATATTAAACGACATTACTTCTAAATGAGATGGAGATTTAGAGAATTTGTTATAGCTAATTAAAGATTCACTGAATCAAATAACGTGGAGTCTTAAATGTTTTAATCCACAATTAGGAATGAAAATAGATTGGATTGAACTAGATTTTGCCAAGTTTAAGTGTGACCTGTTAAAAAATTCAAAATCTATCTGACCTATTATAAACTTGTTTTTTGACTTGAACTTGACATTTTCGAATACCTGATTAACCTATTAGCCTACTCAAAAGTCTATATCAATTGAATATATGTAAATGCACAATTCAACTAATGATTGAAATATAATAGAGAATCTAAAGTACAACAAGATTAAATATTTATTTATATTAACTTATTTGAGTTTATATAACAGCATAAGTTTTATGAATTTATGAGGATATCTTACGTTATTATTTATAAGATTTTTTCAACGAATTTTCACATAATCTTCAACATAACAAAACTTTACTTTTGTATTTTAATATAAATTATAAAATACAATATAAAAATTAATATATTTATTCATAATTATTTAAAATAAATCAGTTTGATAGACTTAAAAGATTTTTTTATAGTATGTAGTCTGGTCTATTTAACTAAATAGACTTATAAAAAAATTTAGATCTTTTTTATTTAAAAAAAAACCTAATTTAATTTTAATCTATGTAGATTTTAATCTATGTAGATTAGACTGTAACCCTGCTAATTAGCATGGCCCATACCCACCCTTATTTACACGGATCTTTTATTAATTTCATAGTTGTTATGTTTTTAAAGACAATAGACTATTCAATTTCATAGTTGTTATGTTTTTAAAGACAATAGACTATTCAAAAGAGAGAGTTCAAAGATGAAAAATCATTTCCAAACAAACAAAAGGATGTCATTATTGAACTTGGATTTTCAAATATTAAAAAATTATACACCAAATTTTTTAATAACAGTAAAGTAGTTTGCTATTTCTTTTGAGAAATAGAGAGGATCATCTACCCATTTGCAAGTAGATAATTTTATAATTGAGATTAAATTTCTTTCCATCTCTAGCCTATACATAAAAATACAAAAGCAATAATAGATGGATGACAAATAACTAAAAAATATTTTATATACTTATCTACCATTAAATAGACTTCAAGATCCATATCTGCTTACAAACTGATAAATTATCTACCATTATTTACATAATATTTAAAGGTCCAACTTTTATCTCATTTTAATTAACAATGGTCATTTTAACTATTTCACTCATTTGTTGGGCAATGAACTATTTCACTTTTATCTCATTTTAACTAACAATTGTCATTAAAACACAGAACCACTCTATGTTACAACTATGACATTAACAAGAGACCTTGGTCGTGGGTCAATTTATCCATAAAATCACAAATTCTAGCATGGTAGAAAATGCCTGAAAATTTCTTGCTAAATGAAACAGTAGCCCATTTGAATAAAAAATTCCTGGCATTTTCATACCAAGTGTCTCTCTAACTTGCATATTAAAATACCAACACTAATCCTATTTATAAAAAAAAAAAGTTACTTTTTAGATACAAGTAACTGAACAATATATAGATCCTATACCATAGTCATCTCCGGTTGATGTCTTTCTCTTTTTGGAATCAACACCAACAATGTTTTGGCATTCAATGGATTTCGGAGACCGAAACAAACTTTTGTCTCAACTTCTTCACCATAAATCTATTATCATTGCCCATCTTCAATTCAACAAGCTTAGTGTGTGTTTGGAATAGCTTTTCTTTCACCCCACCACAAGTCTACGCACATCTACATGCACTTTCACCGTGGAAACTTCTGGGCCACCATGCATGCATCTGACACTTTTCCACCGCGTAGCCAAACATAGTTAGTGTTGTTATATTCAAACAAAGTGTTGTCAAATATCGATATCAGAAAATATCGGATTACCCAAAAAACAATATGAGAAATATCGAATCGCGTAACGGACAAATATCGAAAGCCACAAAATGGTTAAAACAGTTAATAACTTAAATTGAGAGAGAATCCGGAAGAAAAATTGCAAGCGCAGCCACTTGTAGAATTTTCATGTAATGGTTGAAAGAATAAGGAAGGATTTGATGTTTCTCGGCCACTTTCCATACTATTAACAATGGTACAAAAGCAGAGGAACAAATAAAAACTCGGAACCCAACAAGTAAAAGAACAAAACTTAGTATAATAGAAAGGAACAAATGGAAGAACCCAAAAATCTAGAGAACAGAAGATAAAAAATAATTCATCTAAATAAAGAATAACCTGAAAAGAATTCTGCTGAAGTGTAAAAGCTTTGAAGAAATGAAGAAGAGCAGCCGAAGAACTGAAGGAAGAGCAGTCGAAGAATGTATTAACGAAGAATGAGCAGGTAAGTATATATAATTACCAGGAATCGGCTCAGTATGAAAGAAGAGAAAGAATGAACAAATATATAAAATACCATGCACCGACTCATTAGCCCACATTTTCCTTTTTCAATGTTTCCACCTCTTTAGATTCTACTTTTTCACCTCTTCACCTTACACTCTATAGTGTTTCTACTTTTCCACCTCTTATCGTTTTTAATAATTTTTAAATGATTTATTATAAAAAAATAATAATAAAAATAAATCGCCGATATCACGATATGGAAATGCTATACCTGTTTTCGTATCGGATAGTCAAGATTCCGATATGCAATACCGGCGGCGATATGGAAATGCTATACCTGTTTTCATATCGGATAGTCAAGATTCCGATATGCAATACCGGTATAACTCCGATATGCAATACCGGCGGCGATATGGAAATGCTATACCTGTTTTCGTATCGGATAGTCAAGATTCCGATATGCAATACCGGTATAACGGCGGTATACTGGATATTTAACACTTAGATCTAACTGTTTCTTGAAATCTTCAACAAATGTAACCATATATGAACCATTAAGAATTACTTCAGGCATATTGCCTTTTATTTCAAAATTGTCACTTCTCGTGCCACCAACACACTTTATTTTTGTAAAGTACTTCCATAGACTAAATCTAAAAGTGCTCACATTTACATACAAATTCATTGCAACAAGTGTATCAAATAGGTAAAAAAAGCTATTAAGACACAAATCTAGAAACTTATAAGTCAGTGAAAACAGAAAATATTGCATCTATGAACTTAACTTGTTCATTTACACACTGAAAAGGTTCAGATTTTCAGAGCAGAAACATACCATCAACAGCAGCCAGCATACTTCATTTCTCAAATAAAGCACTGCAACCCCTGAACGCAGCTGCTACGCATAACATAACATGATAGCAGTATAACAAAATCCTAATTCAACTTCACTATCCTCGATTCAACTTCAATCAACTCAATTTCACTATCCATTCTTAAACCTCAACCCAAAATCTAGCTTCAATGGAACCAGTATTTCCAATTGCAGCTCAGAGAAAACAGCCATTTATATAAATTCAGCTATGCTTCATTGCTCTACAGCCGCTATTCAACATAGTTGTAATAGTTATTTGTTTCAAATTCCACAATGCAATATCATTGTAGCACCTCCATAGCCGCTATTTATCTTAAAACCCTAAACCAATTCATCATCCAAACCCTCTGTTACTGCTCTTATTATTCCCTTTAAACCCATTCCCTCAACCTTCCCATTCTCAACAACAATCCAAGGAAGCCACAAATCAGCATTCTTCCCCAAATCCCTACCCCAATAATCACCAACAACAACCGTCTTCAAATCCACTTCCCTAACCTTCCTCAACATATCCGAAAATCCCTGATCATCCGAAACCAAAACCAACCAACCAATCTCTCCACTCATCATCTCCTTCTTCAACCACAAATCCGCCGCATTCCCCTTCTCACCAACTTCCACAACTTTAACAAAAACCCCCGCCCGCCGCAACTCCGAACCCAATCCAAATCCAACCATCGGCGGAACACCATTCCCCGCAGCTTCATTATACGTATGAATCTTCCTAATAAACTTGACCCTCGATCGGCTCAATCGAATCGATCGAATTTTTTCCCACAACTTCTCGCGCTGGTACAGGTGAATTCTCCTGAAATGAAATTCGAGATCGGGAAGGGATTTGCATTCTTGACCGCAGACACGGCAGAGAATGGAATTAGGGTTAGGGTTTTGGTTGGGATTCCATTGAGGGAGCTTGAAGAAGGAGTGACGGTATGTGTAAGCGGAGATAGAAACCTCGTCGGCGAAGCGTTCGGCGAGGGTTTTGAGAGAAAGTGCGGCGGCGTATGGTGGTCCACTGGGAGGTTTGTTGTCGAGGTCCCATAGGATGATAACCTTTTTGTTAGGGGCGTGTTTGGCGTTTGTTGTGTTGGTTCTGATGGAGGATTGGAAACGGGGTTTTGAGGAGAGTTTGTGACTGTTTGGGAAAACAAGTGAAAAATTTAAGTTGGAGGGAAAGTGGAGAGTTGCGTTGTTGTCGAAAAAAAGAGAATGCATGGTTTTCTTACTAGCAATGAAGAAGAATCGCTTTTTTAAAACGATAAGTTGGGCTTTTCTTGTGCTGTTGTGGCCCAATAATATGGAGTTTTTCAAGGGAGTGGTTATTTGCACTCTCATTTATACAAAAAATTTTTTACACACATTACTTCTAAATGAGATGGACATTTAACAATATTAATCTTTTATTGGGTGTTAAGAAGAAAATTGTAGCGGGGAGCGAATATGTGAAATGCTTGTCTGGTAATTATAATGCGCGGGTGGACGCGGGTTGCTTCAGTGATGGTGTTATGGCTATGGGAGCAGTCATTCGGGACATCAATAGGAATGTGTTATTGTCAGCTTGTTGCAAGAAGAATTTGGTCGTTGATCCGAAAACTGCGGAAGTAATTGTTGTGGAGTGGGGGCTTAGGTTGGCTAGACACTTGAATCTCAAGCGCATCTTGCTTCAATCTAATGCTAAGGTGGTGGTCGATTGCATTAATCACCTGGAAGTGTGTGTTGACCTTGATCCTTTAGTGGTTGATTGTAATATCATAATGAACAAGTTTAATTGTGTTTCAGTTACTTTTACTAGGCACTCTTCTAATGTTTCTGATCGTAATTTAGTTGGTTTAGGTAGGAGAATTGGTAATAGAACTTGGGAGGGAGTCATCCCTCTTATGTATGATGTTTTTATTTTGTTCTCGTTTTCTGTTTAATAAAGATCGTCTAGTTATAAAAAAAATTATGTTGAAATTTTGCGAGATCAAGATCGTAAGATCGTGCTTATTGATTCTCAATTACTTCTCAGGACACTAAACAAAATTTTAATTTTAGACTTTGAGAAAAATACATTCTCAAGATTCAAACATTTCCTAACATATCAACTTTTGAATACCAGGATGGATGGGGTAGCTCAGCTGATAATTTTTAGTTGTATTAAGGAGTCGTTAGTCCAGGGTTTGAGTTCTGGCAACGACATTTGTTTTATTTTCTTTTAAAATGTAAATAAGTTATTGATATTTATAAATCAACAACTTGAAAAAATGACTTTTGAAGACCGACTCTTAATTAAAATGAATAAAATTAAAAAAAGAAAAATTAATGAAAAAAGAGATTAGGAACTAAAACAAAAATTAAAATATTTAAAAGTAACATTGACATATTTAACTCCTTTTTATTTTAAATAGTCTTTTTTACAATAAAAATAATATGGGATAATTATTATGATTATTTTTTTAAGAAGACTTCTGCTTAAAATTATCAATATCACACATCATCACAGATGGTCCACTTAGAAGAAAAAGTATTAACTTTTAACTTATCTTGAACTAGATCGCCGACCAGTGCTTCGCACGAGTACATTAGAAATAAAATTATATTTTTTATAATAGTTGATATTTAATTTTTTATTTGAATATAAAATTATATTGTAGGCGATTTAGATTATGTTTGGAATTGGCGAAATAAGGAGTTCCATTTGGAAAACTAAGTGAGATCGTCAAATCCGGTGAGGTGTATGATGAATATTAAGGAAGACTATGATAGAGCGGTGTTAGCGAATAAAAGAGTTATGGTTCTTGACCGTGTGTGAAAAATGACTCGTTAGATTCCTCTCAGTGCAACCACGGTGAAGCTGAATATGGATGGTACGTGTAAAGGGAACCTACTTTCGAGGGTTTAGTGGAGTTATCCGAGGGAGTCAAGGCGAGTGGCTTGGGAGTTTTGTTAAATGCACCGGGCGAGGTAGTGAGTTTAGGCGTAATTGTGATGTGTGCTAGAAGGGATCTGATTAGCTTGGAAGATGGGCTTTAAGGATGTTGAAGTAAACTTTGATTCTACGATGGTGGTGAAGGCTATTAAAACTGGGAAAACTACTTTTCCAGGAGGATATTCTTTAGTTAATTAGATTAGGCGTATGATAGACAAATACTGGAAGCTTGATATTGATCATTGTTATCGAGAAGCAAATCGGTGTGTGAATGCTCTAGTAAATTAGGGTTGCAGCCTCGATATGGAAATTTCTTTTTTCGCTGATTGTCCTATTTTGATTAAGGAGATTTACGATGGTGATGTAAGGGGGCTTACTACTCCTAGATTTATAGTCGTGTAATCTTTCTTTCTTTAGGTGTATGCCCTTTATCCTATAAAAAATATAAAATGTGTTTTATATTATTATTTTATTTTTAGGTTATTAGAAGATCTATTATGTTTTCATTTTTATATTTATAAGTAGGTTATTTTTTAAACATAGAAATTTATAAAATAGATGGACAAAGAAAGAGAAAATAGAATTAGGGTTGACAATAATTGCTATCAAGATAATACGTCATCACATAAGTAAAATTAAGATTAGAGTTGTCATCATGACAACTTTAGATTTATATTAAGAGTATCTTCAATGGTGCAATCTCCTTTTGGGTTTTTTGTGAGACCCATTAAGCCACGCCATTTTAAAGCAACTCACTCAATTTTCGCTCCAATAGTGCAATTCTAAAGAACTCATATTAGGTCCCACATCTTTACTTTATATATTAATAGTTTATTCATATTAAATTTTATTTGATTTAAAATAATAATTTAAATTATTTATATTTAAATTAATATAAAATAAATAAAGTTAAAATAAAACAAATATATAAAATTTAAAATGATAATTAAAATTAATCTCAAATACATGACATATAATTAAAAACAATAAAAAAATAACATAACGGAATTACTCAAATTTAATTTTCATCATCCTCATGTCCAAAACGTTCCCAAATATGCTCGACTAGATCTCCTTGAAGTTGACGATGAACTTGTTTTTCACGAAGACTTGCTCTTCTTTATAGTCTTGTTGCAAGATTCAGATGAGGACCATTAAATGTTTCAGTTGTTGAGTACGTGTCATCTACATTATCATAAGAGTAATCAAAATCACCTCCATATGTGTGTCGTTCATCTTCAACAATCATGTTGTGCAAAATGATGCAAGCATATATGGTATGCTTGAGGGTTTCCATATACCAGGCACGCGTTGGGCCATGTATAATTGCAAATCGAGATTGGAGCACTCCAAATGCCCGCTCCACATCCTTTCTAGTTGATTCTTGATGTTAAGCAAATAATTTTCTCTTTTCTCCCTGTGGCATTGAAATGGTCTTGAAAAATGTAGCCCACTCAGGATATATACCATCCGCTAAATAATACCCCATATTATATGATGTTCCATTGATTATATAGTTCACAGTGGGAGCATGTCCTTCCAAAATATCGTTAAACACATTGGATTGGTTTAGCACATTAATGTCATTGTTTGAACTTGCAATACCAAAAAATGCATGCCAAATCCATAGGTCTTGTGATGCCACTGCTTCAAGCATTATTTTGGGTTTACCATGATCACCTCGATAAAATTTTCCTTTCCATGCAACAGGACAATTTTTCCATTCCCAGTGCATACAATCAATGGAACCCAACATACCTGGAAAGCCACATGACTCTCCCATTTGTAAAAGATGTTCAACATCTGTGTTGTTAGGCTTTCTCAAATACTCGGCCCCAAATACAACATTCACACCCGAGCGAATCTTTCTAAGCACTCAACTGAAGTGCTTTCACCGATTCGAACATATTCATCTACACTATCAGCGGGAGACCCGTATGCCAACATACGAATAACATAAGTGCATTTCTGCAATGGTGAAAGACCCATTTTACCAGTTGTATCGACCCTCATTTGGAAATATTCATCATGATTTCTAAGGGCGGCTACAATTCGAAGAAACACATGCATATGCATTATGAACCTTCTTCGAAATTGAACATCTATGTATACTGGATTTACCGAGAAGTAGTCATTGAATAAACGATTGCGCCCTTCTTCACGACTTCGATCTATCATTGTTCTTATCTTTGGCCTAGAGGAACTTCCAGATTGATGTTCCTTCTCGAGCATTGACTTTAGTTGTTCTTCATCTGTGTTGTCCATAAATTCTTCTTCAATCAAGTTCCAAAAGAGATCATCTGAACTGTCTGAATCCATTAAAGTGAGTGAAGAATGTAAGAAGAATGAGAGAAGAATGAGAGAAGAATGAGAGAAGAATGAGAAAATAATGAGAAGAGTGGTCATTTATATAGTTATATATGAATAACGGCTAGTTTGAATAACGGCTAGTTTGAATAACAACATAATATTTATTATAAATTAAATTGGTATTAATGACCATTTTACATAGGTGTTGATACATAACAAATACTACAATTTTTCATCATGACTAAAGTCCATATTTTTTTCCAACTTATTACAATATTTTTCATGAATATCTCGTTGACTATCATTCATTGTAGAAGTGTCTTTCGAGAGTAATTGCATTGTCTTATACTCCATCTCGTCCTCCTTACATTGAGTTAGTCTTTCCATTGCTTCTACTCTTTTATTCCATGTATCTTGCACAATATTAGAAGGTGATTCAGATGCATTTTCCTTTGCCTTACTTTTTCTTTTTGATGCTTGTTGTCCAATTGGACACTCAATTGGTGATGATGAGTTAAACTCGTAACTTGAAGGTGTCACAAGGTTAGACGATGATGAGTGTGCCCCACTACCAGAATTCTTTGTTCTTTTTGAAGAATTTCTGGTTGATGCTCCCATCCATTTAGGTCCATCCTTTAACAATCGTCATGCGTACTCAAGATTGAATGGTGTACCTTCATCCTGAGCAAAAAAAAAGCATATGCAGCGACCAAGACATCTTTCTCCGATGTCCCACTTTTCTTTCCATTAACAGCTTGTTTGTAACACCCAACAAATTTTTGAACCAAGCCATTTATTCGATGCCATCGAGATTTTAATTACCCACGTAGCTTTTCCCGCGACTTCCCACGATATTGATTATAATCGGTAGCGATTCTTAACCAAAAACTCTCAGTTTTTTGATCAACTCCCACAATTGGATCCTTTGAAACATTGAGCCATGATTGGATAAGAAGTATATCTTCATCCCTTGAAAATAGTTCTCAAGATTTTTTTA